TTAACTGTTTGCGCCACCCAGGGAGTCTGGTAATCTTCTAACCTAATCTAACCCCCCTCAATATAGAGTTCGTTTCAACTCATAGAAATCCTATGGATAGAGTAGCAATGCCCCATAGAGTTTTCCAAGGCTGTCAATCTTTATAGAAGCAGACCGACTGTCTCTGCCCACCTCCCCTACCCCTCCACCCACCTCACCACCCACCCCACCACCACCCACCCCATCGCAAGGAATGGCTGGTGGGTTCAAACTGCTGACCTTTCAGCTAGGAATCCAATACCTAACCAACTGTGGAGAGGGCTCTGGGATGGAACAATGAGTCATTGCTATAAATAGAAATCGGCTTGATGGTTTGGGGTTAGCCACAAGAATAGTGTCATGTTTAGGTGCTATGCAAAGAATTTACAGCACTGAGAATTTACACACATAAACATATCAGTTTTCCTTATCTCTACAGTACTATCAATGAGCCCGGTGACATAGAGGGCTACGCATTGGGCTGCTAACCATACGGTCAGCAGTTCATAACCACTAGCCTCTCCAGGAGAGAAAGATGAGATTTTCTACCCCTGTAAACAGTTACAGTCTAGGAAAACCACAGGACAATTCTACTCTGTCCTATAGGGTCACTATGGGTCAGACGTGACTCTATGGCAGTGCGTTTGTTTGTTTTTCAACAGGACTATTGAAAGGACTGTGGGCTGCCAAAGAGTAAACAAATATGTATTGAAGGAACTATAACCAGGATGCTCCTTAGAAGCAAGGATGGTGAGACTTCATCTCAAGTACTTCGGACATGTTTCAGGAGAGACCCGTCCCTGGAGAAGGACATCATACTTGGTAAAGTAGAAGGGCAGCCAAAAAAAAGGACGATCCTTGGTCACATGGATTGACACAGTGGTCGCAACAATGGGCTCAAGCATGAGGACAATTGTGAGGACAGGGCAGGGTCCAGTCGTGTTTTGTTCTGTTGTCCACACGGTGACTGAGTCTGAACTGACTTGATAGCACATCAGTTGACTTGATTACAACATCATCATCAAGAAAACCGAAGCTATGTTCATATGAGTACATCCTTGGTTCTCTACGTTCTTTGCTCAGCACAGAAACATGACACTATTCTTGAGGCTACCTTCCGACTAACTCAGACCACACAGCGTCATAGAGTGGATTCCTACTCCGAGAGACCCGAACTAGGTGTCCTGAGACTGTAAATCTTTATTAGGAACAAACAGCCTCATCATTTGCTTGTAACTTCCTACAGGAGTTAAAATCTTTTCTCATAAAGCTGCCCCTGGGGGGGAAAATCAGTTTTAAAAAAGACAATATTTTATTGTGTTTTTGGTGAAAGTTTTCATAGCAAAACTGTTTCCCTGGGACAATGTCTACCCAAACTGTTCAGGGACCTGAGTTACATTTTCCACAACGTGCCCACGTTCTCTACTTGTGTGGTGATGGTTCTGTTTCCGGTGCTCAGATCTCCTGCCTCTCCCTCTTTGCTTTGGAGTAATGCTGCCTGTTCCGCCTCATTTAGACGGGTTTTAAAGGGAACACTGTACTTCATTTCATGTGCCAATCTACTAATTCACTAAGCAGTGACCCCAGGGAATAATTCTAATTCACGGCTTAAAGGGCTTATAGAGTTAGGGGGTGACAGAGAGTCCTCGAATCTCAACTAGTCTGGACTCTTTAAAAATGGGAGTTCTGGTCCATATGTTTCCACCAGTTTATACTGACCTTGAACGCTGGAAAACCTTTTGAAGTCAATTCTTCATCAGAAATAAAATTCAATGTCACCGTTTTGGTAGAGTTTGGGAGTTTAAGTTCAGATAGAAAATGCTATTGATTCAATAGCAATCATCTTTCGTTGGGTAGGAAAAAAACCTTCACACACAGAGACAAAGGAACCCAGAGATCATTCAAAGACCTATCTACTTTAACCAGTTACTAAGGGTTACCAGGGGGCATGCTAACTTTCAGGAAGCTCTTAAGACCCAGTAGATTTTAGTTGTCGCCAAACCAAACTCACTGCCGCCAGGTCAATGGCGACTCGTAGTGACTCTATATGCCACCAGGGCTCTGTGTGATTTCAATGGCGCACAACCCAGTGACCAAACAATTAGACACAGCGCAAAGGTCACCCAGCAAGCGAATAAAGGAGCTCTGGACTATGGAGCGGAATGCTTGACACCAGTAAAAACGAGGGAATGGAGGCACATACACATAAAACATTGACGTGGGGATGAATGGCACACCACTGCTAAACCAACAGCAACAACTTTGTAAGAGCTTCCGACTTAGGCCAAGTCCAAAGGCTGGCAACATGACTTCGAGTGAGCCAAACAGCGAGGTCATTTTCAAGGACAAAACTGATTTTTAATCACCATACCTAAATGTGGCCTAATGAAAAAAAGCAAGTAGCACAATGTTTAAGAGTCTAGACAGTTTCAGTAATGAAATAAAAACAAAATAAAGTGTAGGTTGGAGCTCCAGCCATTCTTCGTGCTGTCTAAAAGAGTTGCGTGCAACGGGGACCCTGTAGTCACAAAGGGATTGACACTGAGATGTAGAAAAGCAGATAGACGGCACTGAAATATCAAAGAAATGTACACACTTCAAAATGCAGTGGAATGAAAACCAGTATTAGAAGCAGATTAGAACAAGCATAACATAAGGATGCAAAAGTGTCACACAATTGAATTAATCAGCCATTCTTTAGTTACATATCAGGATATCACTGCAAAAACACAAGCTGCTTTTTTGGCTTTGCAAAACAGTGGACACTGATCTCACCTGATCTCATTTTCATACTGTGGGGACAGTCTACCTGAATTCTGGTAAAAGCTTTTCAGGAAAGAGGGAGCAGAGAAGGAAGGGGCAGACAAGGAAGTATGGAGACTTGGAAGACTGGAGGAAGAATTACTCTCCTTGTGCATACGTTGAACTGATGGAAGAATGCTGAGTACAGAAAATACAGCAAATTTGTCATAATTTATAGTTCATCAAAAATCTTTCTTCACTATGACAAAGCATACAAACAGAATTTTGCTATATCGAATCTTCCTTGGGAAGGATCCTGTGGGGGGCGGGGAGCATGCACTCCTTTGTTTAGCTGGCTACAGCCTATACTTTTACTCTTTACCTTGGCCGGCTTTCAACCCATCAATGTTTACCTGAAAAAGATGGTTATCAATTTCATGACAAAAAGTGACGTCTGCTTTTACATGCAAGGCTCTTAACCGGTCACCGGGGAAGGGGCGTAGGGGGGTGGGGGGTGCGTGGAGCGGATAAAGAAGCGTAGGAAACAAGTTCCAGAAGGAAAAACTGATGATCAATAGTTATGAACTGTCCAAAGTATCAGTGT